GGCAGAGATCTTGGCGGGTCGTTTGTTATGCTGAGCAAACCAGCGTATGGGCTTCAGTAGATGGCGATCCACATTGAGGTGACGGTACCATCTATCCTCTATACGATCCCGCAGTTTGTGTTTCGGCCTAAGCATTCGGTAGGCCGACTTGGATTTTAAGTTCCGTAATGTAAGTATCTTTGCCTCCCCCTTCCTGGGTGGAATGTTCATGGTCCACTGCCACTCCTCAGGGTCCAGGGGAAGGTCTTTGATTGGGACCATTGGGTGGTGCACCCTCTGGTGACTTCCATCAGGAATGACCCTGATGCGATACACCTCCTTCTGCTCCTTCCAAATGAATGGTTGGTGGTTGCACCTTAGTCTATCATCTTTTAGAATGGAGAAGACTTCAACTAGTACCTGTGATTGATTAGCTAGGTGCANCTTCCAAATGAATGGTTGGTGGTTGCACCTTAGTCTATCATCTTTTAGAATGGAGAAGACTTCAACTAGTACCTGTGATTGATTAGCTAGGTGCACATACCCTACTTCCCCCTCGTGGCCATGTAGCCCCACCCAGTCATCCATTCTTGCACCGGGGCCTTTTCTAAGGGTGATATACCAATGGAGAGGGAAGTTGTCAATCAGCCCGTTAAGTGCTCTCTCAGTGAAGTGGCAATACCGCAGGGTTGCTCTTATCCTGTCCGTGCTTTTCCAGTTTCTTTCCTCTGTATCCCAGAGATCCCCAACCTTTCGGATCCCATGTTTCACCCACCCTTTCCATGGGGAATCTGAAGCACATCGTATCCGCCCTCCTGGGTCCGTTATTAGTCGGTTGCCGAATAAGGGCTGCCTAAATATTTCCTCCCACCTCTCAGGCACAGGTTGGTCGGGGGGCGGGAGCTTCCTCCATGTACGGATGAGGCGTACCCAGTACTTGTCTGTGGGGTCGCCATTCCTGTACTTCTTGGGTATCCTCCAGTGCCTGTCTTCCAACCATATGCGGGGGTCAATTTCCGGTGGAGATTTTGGGGCGAGGTCTGAAAACTGTGCCAGGGCGAGGGGGACCCATGGCGATGTCGGTAAAAAGACGATGTGTTGAAGCCAGCGGATAGAGAGGGCCTGGAATTGCGTGGCTGGGTTTATGATACCCAATCCGCCCCTGTTTTTGGGTTGAATCACCGAGTCCCATGCTACGCGGCTTATGGCGTGGGTATTATTGTTGTCGCCCCTCCATAGGAAAGCCGCAAGTTGTTGTTTCAGTACTTTAAGCCCTCCGTTACTCATGGGCCATAGGACGACTTTGTACTATAGAGTGGCCAGGACCACGTTATTAATGACGAGCGCCCGCCCAAAGATTGATGTTCGTTTATTGTTCCATTTTTACAGCTTGGTTTGTGCTGGTCCTGTCAGCAATTCATCATTGGCTGCTGGTCTACCTCTGGCGGTAATTAATGCCCCCTGGATTATCAAGGGGTCTTCCGGAGGGAGCCACGTGATACGTGGGTGTTCCGGAGGTCTGGCCCCTTGGTGATGCAGCCACCAGCCCGTGGTCTTTTGTCCCCAGTTAACGGACATGTCTGACAGGCAATAAAATTTGTTCATGAGTTGCTGGATTTCCTTCATATTGGCCTCGGTTGCATCCACTAATATGGTCAGGTCATCAGCAAATAGAGAACATATAGGTATTGCCTCCTCGGGGATGTTGGATATTGCAATACGTGTGAGGTCTTTGTTCTGTCGCAAATTCGCTGATAGCGCTTCCATGATTACAAGGAAGAGGTAGGGGGGGATAGGGTCCCCTTGTCTTACTGACCATTGGAGTTCAAAGGGGGTGCCACAGAGCCGTTGATTTGGACGCAAGTGTTGATGTTTTTATGGTGGATCTTAACCCAGCGCCGGAAGGAGGGTCCAAAATTCATTCTTTCTAAGCACATATCTAAAAACTCCCAGTCCACGTGGTCGTAGGCTTTTTCGAAATCTATAAAAATTATCGCCGCATTGGCCTGCTTCCGTCGTGCTAATTGGACCACATCATTGACTAGCAGGATGTTCTCCTGTATGTTCCTCCCGGACATGAAGCCTGTTTGGGCTGGGTGAATGATCTCTTCTAGGACCATCGCCATATGGTTCGCCAGTGCTTTGGCAAACATTTTATAGACAACTGTGAGTAGTGTGATGGGCCTGTAGTTCCGGATATTCATTTTATCCCCCTTTTTGTAGAGGAGAGATAACACTCCTTTGCCTACTGTTTCCCCCATCTCTCCGACCTCCCATACCTTTTGGTAATATTCTCATAGGTCAGAGTTTAGGTCCGTCCACATGGCTTCCCAAAATTCATTGGGGAAGCCGTCTATCCCAGGGGTTTTGTCTTCCTTCATTTGGAGAAGTGCCGACCATATTTCTTCTTTTGTTAATTTAGACTCGAGTTTGTCACGCTGTTGGGGGGAGATGTGACGGTCCATCGGGAGAAGGAAGTCCTGAATCTGGCGGGTCCTTTACCTCACTTGTGGGACTTGGGAAGTGTATAGTTGTTTGAAAAAAATCCTGGTGATTAATGTGCAATGCGCCGTAGCCGTGGCAATGGTATTGTTATCGTCTGGGTCTGAAAAGACTTCGATGATAGTCCGCCGTGTCCGCGCGGTGGCCATGGAGAAAAAATGGGTATCCATTGAGGCTTTATAGGAAAGTTTAGCCATTTTCCCTTTGAACCTGATTCCTTGCCATCTATATTGGGCATACTGTAGGAGACGGTCTTTGATGTTTTGAATGGAGGTGATAATATGTTGTTTTTCTTGATCGGAATTAAGATGTTGCGAGTCTGCCTGATTTTCCAGGCGTAGGAGTTCGTTGTGGCCAGTCATTTCTTGGTGCTGTCGTAGGGTTGCTTTCGCTTTGGAGAATTCCTTGCATTTCCGAGCTAGGAAGATCAGACCGTTGTTAAACCATTCGACGTAAGATCCGAATAGATGTTTTTGTTGACGCCAGAAGTCACATTCTTGCCGGATCATTTGTGGGAATGCTGGGTCTTTAAGTAAGGAGGTGTTCAGTTTGTAGAAACCAGACCCTTGGTCGGGCCTTTTCCTCATCGTTAGTACTATGCCACAAGTCTTGTGATCAAGCCCTGGGTGCGGGTTATGAGGGAGTATTAACGCCCATCGCAGAGCTCCCTCTAGATCATTAGACAGGAGGATACGATCCATTCTGGATTTAGAAAGGCGTGTCGGGTCGCTGTGCCGGATGCATGTGAATGCTCTGGATTGAGGGTGCAGGCGTCGAAATGTATCAAAGATAGAAAGGGTCTCACAGAGATCTGCTAACATTTGCTAATCTTCTACTGCCGCGAAAGAGGGCGATTCCTGGGGGTTCCATCTATCCAGACTTCTATTGGGTGTTGCATTAAAGTCCCCGACGATTATTAAGGGTATACCTTCCGGGACTTGCGTTCCCATTGTTCCCAAGAATTCTCGTTTGTGGCTTACTGAGTTTGGTGAATAGATGCAGAGGACACATAGCAATTCTAGCTCCAACATTCCCAACACCAAAACCCATCGTCCTCCTACTTCGTCCACCGCCCAGTGGATCGGTTGGAATCTAGAATCCGGGGGTATCCAGATTGCGACACCTGTCGAGCCTGGTTTGGGCGCATGAGCTCTGATAGCAGTGTGGGGCCAGATCAGCTTATGGGCCCTATTATGTTCCGGGGTGTTTTGTAGGTGAGTTTCCTGTATGCAGATTATGTCCGGCCACCTTCTCCCTCCTATCCCCCTGAGTTGGTCCCAGATGGCTTGGTGTTTCTCTGGTTTGTTGATGCCAGATCATTGACGTTGATGGAGCGCATGTCGAGGTCGGCAGCCTCCACGCATTTTCCCCATGCCGCTGTGTAACCAGTTGAACGCCGTGAACGCGCGTTCACGTTCAAGCGCGCGCGTTCAATCCCCCGTGCCCCGCGTTCAATCGCGTTTAAACGCGCTGCACGCGCGCGCGCGTGAAAAAATTAAACGTGGTCCTGCGGGGCGCGCGCGCACGACTGGGGCTGCGGGTTGGTGGTCCGAGTTCAACAAACTGCCAAAGTGCGAAAACTGCCCCCCGGGACCACCACATACACCCCCCCCCCCCCCYSSYCCCCSCCCCCSAAACCACCACCTGCCAAGCCCCTTGACTCCCCTACCCCCACCCAACGGAGGGCCACCCACCCCTGGGGACTTTTTTTTTTTTTTTTTTCCCCAGCCCACAATAAAAACCCCCCAAACCACGCCACCCATTTACACACACACACACTGACACACACACACACACATACACACACGCACATGCACACACAAATTCACACCGTCGCACACACACGGGCACTTTCTTTTCGCCGACACGTACGACCCCCCAAAATGCGCCACCCATTTACACAAACAAATACACACACACATTATCACATTCAGAAACACACACACAAACGGCGACCTTTCTTTTAATTTTTTTTCCAAAATTTCTGTTTTCTTTTTATTTTTTTTAATAGTGCAAAACAAGCGGTTAGAGAAATTTAAAAAAAAGGGTTGCAAGCAAAAAAAAAAAAAAAAAAAGGTGGTTCGGGGGGTTCGGGCGCAGGGGGGGGGTACGGGAGGTTTTGGGTTATGAGGGGCCTGGAAGCACACAAAACACTCGTCGTCTGAAAACAGAAACATCGCAAATGCCAAGATGTAATGATCGAAGCAAAACGCAAACCAATATAGCATGGATAATAGCAAAAATCCGACACATCGTGTCGAAGCCGTCAAACGCGTCTGTGGGAAGAAGTACCAACCCAAAAATGCCGACGAAAAAGCACGCTAAAATACACTGGAAAGCTACAATCTCCGAAGTAGCAAACTGGAGACAAGTGCCTACTGCAAAGTACACTATAATACAACATCACGAAACACTACGTCTGCGCAGAAAAGCACCCACTGCAAAGTGGACTGTAATACAACCTCACGAGACACTACGTCTGTCATGGATAACAACAAACTAAAGTACACTGAGAAAGTCACGAAAATGCAAGTCCATAATCCGTCAACGATCGTCGTGCACATGCGGATCTCGCTGGGACCGATGAGAAACTCCTCCGTAGGACCGGCCCCTGCCGCCTTCTCGATCTCTCTGATGCTGGCCGCCGCGTCCGCCAGCTGGAGGCTCGGGAGTGACGGGAAGCTCGTCGGGATCGTCGTCCATAATGACTCTCCTGCCTCTCACTGTCCTGATGGCTGCTGCTGCTAGGTCATCACGTCGGCGTGCCTCGCGTGCCATAGGCAGACCGTCAGTCCCTGAAGTCTCCCCCTCCTGGTGTTGATCTAAGGGCACGTGTCGGGTCTGCGTCAGTCGTGTAACAACATCAGGCTCCTCCAAAATAATCGATGCCTCTCTCAAACCGTACGTCCGTGGCGGATCCACTGCGCTCGTCGTGGCACCGCCTGCACCCTCACGTCTGTCGCCACCGTCACCACCACTGCCACCGCCGCCACCCCCTCTACCGCCAAACCCTGCAGCTACAACATCTCGATGTCTCGCGCTCGTGGAAACCCCTATCAAACCTGGCTGACGACCGGCACTCGCCGTCGTTACCCGTCTCGTCTCACTCCATGGTCGATCTGTGCGACCGAACAACATGGTGTCCAGCAACTCCCACGCACGCTGGGTAGTGTCTCTCCGTCTACGGGCAACTAACCTCAGGGTGAGGCTGCCGCCCTCCCTCGGAGCTGCGCTCAAGGGTGACGAAGGGCCTGCGGCGCCTCCAGATGGCGCTGCGACCAAACCTCCAGAAGGTAAGTCCCCTGCGACCCCGCCCGATGCCGCTGTGACGGAACCTCCAGAAGGTAAGCCCCCTGCAGCCCCGCCAGATGGCGCTGCGACGGAACACCCAGAAGGTAAGCTGGGGCTGGCTGGCCCCCAAGATAAGTCCTGCACGTGAGGCAACTTCCCCTCCCCTGGGACTGACCTCAAAACGCGCTGGTCGATCTCCGTCAAATCCCTCCTGCCATGGTCCTTCAACTCCTCAGCGGTCATAAAACCAAAAGGGAGGCTGCCTCGAGGCGTAACCACATGCCTAATCTCCGGCCTCGTACACTTCGCTCCTCGACCGCGCCACCGCCATGTGCAGGACGCCTAAAACCCTCCAAAAACGGTGCCTGATGTGGCCCCACTGGCCCCACAGCAGTGCAAGCCACCAAAGTCTGTGGCATCTCCTGTCCGTCCGCGTCACGCCTGTCCACCTGTGCGGGGTCTCCCCCGCCAGACGTGGACATCGGATCGGCCGCGGACGGCACCCCCGACCCGCCAGCACCAACGGTTCCCGCTACGGCCCCGTCCCCCCCGGTGGTCGGCGCTATCCCCTCCGCCTGTGCCGATGGGCGAATATCATCAACGCCCACTGACTGCCCCGTCGGTATGTCCTCCAGACCCGGGGACATATGCACGGCAYMCTCGACTGAACCCGCAGGCMGAGGCACGCCCGCGACCTCCTTCAATGTCTCCTCTGGCCTCCGCTCCACGGCAGGATGCTGCGCCGACTCCGAACGTGGCTCCTCTGTCGGTGCCAACCCGCTCTCGTGCGTNTCCTTCAATGTCTCCTCTGGCCTCCGCTCCACGGCAGGATGCTGCGCCGACTCCGAACGTGGCTCCTCTGTCGGTGCCAACCCGCTCTCGTGCGTCCCCTGCTGGACATCCACTCCCGTACTCGAAACCTCTGCCGAAGCTGCCTCCCGCTGCGTCGTGTCATGAACCTCTGCCGGAGTATCCGTGTGGGCAGCTGGCCCCGCGTCAACAGACGCCGGCGTAAATGTCCCCAGCTGCCTCTGTCGGTCCTCGGCCGCAAGACGGGCGAGCTCCTGTGTCCTGGGGTCCCTCTGTGCCATGAGGCACACTCGACGACTATCAAGCCTATCCAGCCTCTCTGCAGATGTCTCTCCAGGGGGTGTCTGGTCCTCATCCCCCTCTGCCCCCAACATCACCTCTGCGCGCATGGCAGGGGAGAAACTACTCGGGTCCGCGAAGCTGATCTGTCCCAATAAGTCCTGCATACCCACACTGATGTCCCCACGGGACTCGCTCTCTCCTAGGGCCAGACCCACACTCTCTCCCGGGGGCATACCCATATCGCCAAACTCACTGAAACTGCCTCCGCCGCCCATCGGTATCCCCTCAACCACCGCATCAGCCTCGACACCGCCTCCACCTCCGGCCAGCGCACCACCATCTCCACCAACCAACCCCTGTCTGTCTCCGTCATCACCCTACACCGGCACAGGACCGCCCTCCAATCTGTCCTCCAATCGCTGTCTCGGGCCCCTCACCAATCTCTGCAATCGATCTGCAACGGCTGGCTGTCGATGAAGCTGCTCCGTCGAAGTGGGAAGAGCGGTGGATGATGTCGTGCCAGAGCGACCCAGAGAACGATGGCCAATCCCCGACTCTGCCCCCCTCGAAGGTGCAGACCCAGGATCTGTCTCCCGCTCAGCGGGAAGACGGTGGACGTAGGCCTCGGACGCTCTAAAGGGCTCCCATGACGACCCCCAGACTCCTCCTCCAAATCAACCTGAATGAAAAGGTCATCTCTGCCACTCCGTCTACGGACGTCCTCTGGGTTGCTCCACTCATCACGCTCATCCGCCGCAGGAGTGGTGCTAGCGAGGCCCGCCGGCTCGTCCTCGTCCTCGTGACCCTCGGAATCACTGTCGTATCGAGGGTACGGGTGGAATGTGGCGGCTCGAGTCCCGAAAACATCGCCCACATCACCCGGAGGAGCTCTGGACCCACATGGGTCACGCAGCCATGAACGTCTCTGATACTCGACCTCCTCCCACATCCTACTCTCGTCCGTCCCCTTCCACGAGGGGCGAATCCCGATACCTCCCTCCACGTCCAACAACGACTCATCTAGAGTCCACGGCAGCGCGAACCTACGACCTGCTCGCTGATGAGATAGAAGGCGGACGTTGGCTGAGATCTCAACCGACCTTCTCGAACTCAAGCCGGTTACGCTTCTTCGTCTGTACACCCTCGTGGATGACCCAATTCCTCTCCGCAGGAGAGGAGCACGCCCACATGTACATCACACGAAGAGCGATAACCTGCAACTGCGGGGCGCACTGCCCGTACCTCGACCACCAACACCCGGACTCGTACGTCTCCGCATCGCCCCTGCACCTCTGTGCATCTCTGTCTCCGTCTCTCCCCCCCCAAGCAATCGTCCCCCTCCGTGTGTGGAAGTCGCACAACTGTGCACATGCGGTCTTGTAGTCGCGGCTCGCCACACTGAACCCTGTCTGCGACAAGATGTAAGTTTCCGCCTCCCTCACCAAGCTCGCGTCATAGTCGCTGACCACACCCTCGAAGTACCGCAAGTCCCGCCGGCTGGGACAGAGGAGGTGAGCAGCGGCGTGCGCCGGCTCCAGCATGTGAGCGCATCGAGCCTGCACCCTCTGCACAATGTAGTATGCAAGATCTGGCGGAAGTGCACAAACCTCCTCTGCCACCTGGCGGGCCAGATCCTGCGTCCACTAAACCACCCGCGACATGTGCAGCCCTCCGCGGTCCAACCTGCGCAGCAGGTCGTACACAGGCTCCATGATACAGAGCAAGATGCCCATGGAATCCCACCAATTGCCATGTCGCACCTGCCACCTGACCCACCTAGCCAAATAACAAACTGAATGGTCCCAAGGGACCATACCCCAACTATCGCCATCCACCGTCCTCTCCAAAGCTGACCTCACTGCCAGCAAACGCTCCACCATTGCGAACACGGATGCGAAACGTGTCTCGCAAGGATAGATGAGGCCCATCTGACTGCTCTCCCCCCGGAAGATATGGAGAGCGGCGCCGTGCTCCTTAATGAAGCGCACCACCGCTCTCCCCCTCACGATGATGTCCTTGGACCACGGGCCCGAACAGCCAATGTCTGACAACATCTTGTTGCAGACATGCACTGCGCATGGGAGCCACGTGATCCGCCGATGCTCCGGCCTCTGCTGGGCCCCCTGGAGCATGTTCGCCGCGGCGACGTACGCCGAGGCGGAGTCGGTGCAGATGGCGTTCACCCACTTAGGGGGGAAGTCATCAAACACCTTGATCCACCGCGCCAACACATCAGGCGCCCGATGCCGCTCACTCTCCCTGTTCATCGTCCGGACGAGCATCACCCCATCGACCCGCCGACAAGGAAGTTAACGATGGGTCTAGCATCACGTGACTTCCTTCCGTCTGACATAATGGTGGTCCCCGTGACATAGAAAGGAGCCCTGACCTCCGCGAGATCAGCTCCCACATCGTCCGCCGTGTGGACAATGGTCTCTATGTCCGCGATCTCATTCATTGAAGGCCACAACACCTTCACTGACCCCGGCAAGTCCCTGAAGTGTCGGACGACGTCCAACCATGGCTCGCTCCGAAAGACGTTGAACGCTAGGCGCTGACTGTACACAAACCGCAGCCACTTCTTCTTGAACTCCATCTGCCACTTTGAAGTGAACGACTCCGTGATCGTGTTCTGTCTCATCCTCTTCTGTGCTGCGGCTGCTGCCATCGGTCTGTCCCCCTCCTCTCTCTCCTTCCTCTTCCCCGCAGACGCACTTGCCTCAGGCGTATCCGCACCTGCCCGTGCACAAACCGACACGTGCGCCGACGCAAAGTACTGGCCCTGCTGCCCCCCCGGCTCGCTGACAACGCCCATCCCTCGCTCCCTCCTTGACGACCCCGCCCGTGCAACCTCCTCGTCGTCGTTGTCCACATTGATCTGCTCCCCCGCGTCCCTCATCTCTCCCTCCCCCCCCTCGTCCAGTTGCGGATCCACCGCAGGCGCCGCACCGTGAAGCTCCTCAAATCGCTGTATCCGCTCTAGGAACTTCTCGGACATCTTGTACTCACTGTTATAGTGGATGTCGACAAGTGCCTCGTCTGTCACTTCCGGACATCCCTTGCCCTGGCGGAAATGGCGCGCTGCCACGAACTGGTTGCCATGGAACTCGTGGCCGCAGAAAACGCACTTCAACATGCGATTGCCGCGGAATCTCTCGCCGAGACTCTGTCCCACCCGGATGTACTTGTACACGCAACACTTCTTTTGCGCCTTCAGATTCTCGTCCTCCCCCCCATCCTCAAACACCCGAGATTGACTTCGCGGCATCGTGCCCGCTCGTCGATGGGTTCACCGAAGCGGTCCGCCCCTAGCCTGTCCCATGAAGCCCCAACTCCCGCCGGCGTCCCTCCCCGCCGCACGCCTCGTCGGGCCCACCCCTAGCTGCCACCCCCCCTGTCGGCCCCCCCGCCCAAACCACCCCCCCAACGGTCTCGAATCCCTGCCGCGCGCCGGAAACGCGACGCAGAACGCACAAAGGCCGCACCATGCAGCGTCCGTTCAAAGATATTGAACGCGCGTCCAAACAATTGAACGCGCGTTCGATAAATTGAACGCGCGTTCAATTTTTAGTCGCGTTGCGCGCCGATGACGTCCTCGTCGCCCGCCGCCTCGCTGTGCCGTCGATGTCCCCGCGCGCCTCCACGTCGTCGTCGCTCTCCACGCGCTGCGCCCTCTCTCTCTCTCTCTCTCTCTCTCTCTCTCTCTCTCTCTCT